ATTATGATTTTAATGTATTTAGATATATTTTAGATATGAGTAGAAATTTGAGATGATGCGGTTTAAACTTATACACCACCCTACAGATCTGAAGCTAAGCTTGTTTTGCTTTTACTATTTTTGATTATTGTTTAGTATTGGTGGCTTGTCATTGGTAGCTTAATCCTTAAAAGTTCATTTCTAAAATATAAAAAGATTCTTTTAAATAATATTTTTAAATAAATTACTCCATGAAAAACCAGAACTTGCTGTAAAATATAGCTTTATTAATCTATCTATCTGTGCATCTATCTATCTATCTATCTATCTATCTATCTATCTGTCTATTTATCATCTATGTCATTAACTTATCTATCTACCTTCTATCTGTAATTCAAAGCAACCAAAGAAAAATCATGTAAGACATAAATCCAAAGGCATACCTGCAGTCAATGGTTATTTCTCTACTAGCCAAACCCTTTTTGTGAAGGAGTCACATAAATTCTTTGACAATCTATCAGTCTGTCTGATGGTTTCTATCATTGAGGAGCTGCATCTTTTATATCAATTGTTTTTATTAGTATGTTGTCTTTTGTATCTAAAAGTACAGTAGAGTTATTTTTTTTCTTATGACTGACAAGGACATGGTGATGGATTTTGTGCACTTTTTTTTAGGGACTAAGTATGCTTCACCAACAGTAATATATTGAATTCCTATTCTACAACATGATAATATTTGGAGGTGAGACTTGGAGAGCTAGTAATTTCATGAGGGTGAAGCCTGCTTGAACAGAATTAGTACCCTTAAGATTTGTGGCTAGAATTTTCTCTTTTGTGAGGTCCCAGAATAGGTAGAAATCACCAGTAGAACTTAGATTAGTAAATATATTGTTCTTGGACAACCCTTATCTAAAAGTGAGAAATAAACATAACATGGCATTTTGTTTTACTACTATGGTCTAGTAATATTTCTGTTGCCATAGCAAATATATAAGATAATATATCACATGGAGGGCTGGCTTGTTGGGGTTTATGTACTGCCCAGTTCCCCTAGCTGTTTAGCCCCAAAGAAAATCACACAGAGGTCTCCTTAAGTTATAAGCTGATTGGCCTATTAGCTCAGGCTTCTTATTAGCTCTTATGACTTGTATTAACCCATTATTCTGATCTATGTTAGCCATATGGCTCGGTACCTTTGACAGCAGGGCAGGTCACATGTTACATCTTCGGTAGTCTGGGCTGGACTGGGGGGAAATCAGCTTCCTCCTTCCCAGAAGCCTCCTGTTCTCATTGCATCACCTCTACTTTCTGTCTGGTTTTCCCAACTATACTTCCTGCCTGGCCAATCAGCATTTATTTAAAACATGACTGACAGAATACAGACAATTCTCCAGCACCAATAACACATTAATAAAGAGGAAATTTATTTTGACTTAAAGTTTGGGAGTTTCCAGTCTGGAGTAAGTTTCGTTGCTTTTACACCTGAGGCAGGAAGTCCATCAAAGGAAGGGATGTGGAGAAAAACAAGCTCTTCATTTAATGTTTGAGATACAAGTGAGATAATGAGTACTGAGCAGACCAATGATGGAGCAACTTCCCATGACCCATAAACTATGCTAGTTCATAGCCCCCTTTCCCACAACTTCCTGATTTCCATTTCTAAGCAGGGTGTGAAAACTCTCAAGGTCATTCTTCATTTAAATCACAGAATCATACAGTGTTCCTGAGGCAGACTACTCTGTCATAGGTCCTTGGGCTAACTGATGATATTTAACATTTCCTGCTGTGTTTGTTTATCTCTCAAATGGGAATTCTTTTCTCACTTATTTGCTTTTCATTTATTTGCACACAAGATAATGTCAAAGGAATTCAGGAAATAATAGATTATGAGATGGTACAAATATTAGTTTTACAAAATAGAGGCCTTACTAAACCCTGCTTTATCTAATTCATAAATGCAACAACAGCAGTGCTTGGGGGCTATGGCATGTGGAGCCATCGTGTAAAAATGTGAAAAGCAATAACAAGAGGAGGGAAACATCTGTTGAACATCTTGCCAGTAGCCTAAGAACTGAGGGTCAGGGTAAGCCACAAGAAATCCTCACGTATCAGCACAGATGCAGAGCACAAGAGAACACGATGTGAAAACCGGATTGGTTCATAAAAGAGGAACAGTTGAAAGAAAACTGATAAATCCTCATCATGGTTAATAGTAGATCACAACAAGCTTATACATTTACTATTGTCAAGTTACTACTGTTAGTCATTGTAGTATAAGATGATAAGAATATAGCAAAGTGGTTGATGGGGCTTTAAATTTTATCTGTTCTACAGAGTCATACTTATGTAACTCTGCATTTATTCTTTAAAAGAGAGACATGCTAAAAGTTAAATAAAAGGGACAGGACAGATGGTTCTGTGTTTAAGAGTGCTTGTTGATCCTGCAGAGGACCAGTGTTCAGTTCCCACATATCAGACAAAAAAAAAAAATAACAAAACAAAACAAAACAAAAAACCCTTCTCCCCATGTGGTGTTAGCTGCCCTATACTGACTTTCTTTGGTACTAGCACACAAGCGTACATACTAAAAATTACCTGCATACACACACATGGATACATTCATGCATGAAAATAAATAAAAATTTAAAGCAAATAATAACCTAACTTTTCATGGTGCTGATAGAACAATGGAACATTCAGGTAGAGTCCTTTATTTAAAAAGGTTGTGTTGTGTAGCAATGCCTCTTAATTTTTAATAAGTAGAACAGATGTCTGAAAATAATTTAAATTCACCCTAATCTTAATGAATAGGTTACTTTAACAGGAAGATAATCCATACAACAAGAAGTAAATGAAGACATTAAAACCTAGCGATTATTGTACTATGAAAATATAATGACAAAATTATATTAATTACTAAAATTAGACATGTGAATGAATTAAGAACTGTGGTCTTCACTCTCTAATGTTTATTCTCATGATATTTCAAGCACAATTTTAATGAAAAGAACAAAAACAAAATACATTACTCCTAGTCCTTTGATTTTGAAAAGAAATTAGAGGAGAATTAGTTGTCCATCACAGAGACAAGAAAGCAACTTAAATATTTTGGATGCTTAGAGAAAAACAAATAGGCATCCCGAGGAGCAGAGCAGGGATGCAGATTTCTAGCATTACTTGTATATGACTTCAGAGCCCTACATAGTGTGGTTTATTTTCTTGGAGATTGTAGTTTCCATCAAAACAATCTAAAAGTATGTAAGCAAGACACTGAATATTGCAGCAAAATACCATTTACTCGAGTTTAAAAACCTGTATTCTCAAATTAATTACTATTGTAATTAATACAATAATTAATCCTAAGGCTTTTCAGAAACAAAAAGATTAAATTCATAAGGGACAGGAGAGATAAATTGTAATTTGGGAAAGGAGTCTATAAGTAACCAAAATATACAAAAGAGTAAATAAACCATGTGCTTAAGATGATGGCAATTGTTAACTATATTTATTTCAAATGTTTTAGGTTCTTGAAGTCTTTTTATCATTAACTTCTAACTAAACTTTAAGGGATGTTAAGAAGTATTTGATTACCAGGTATCAAAGGCAATTCCTGTATTCTCAGCACCTGGATTGAGAACTACAGATTTAGCCGTGAAGAAAAATCTCTTAGTGATCATTAGACCCTTCTGTCTGTTAAAAATATCCAAAGAAAATGGAAGAAATATCTATTATCTAACATCAAAACCAGGGTATACTAGACATGTGAAAAAGAAAGTTACTATGAACATAGGCTGTAGGTCAAATTAGAATACAGGTGACAACTGGGCACACACTACACACGCATCTACATAACGTTGCATGATAAATAATATAAAACATAATAATAAGTGGACATGCATTGTACAACTATGACAGACATCTATTAATAGGATACAAATAGATAGTAAGTATATAAACATTTCATATTGAACACTGATGTCATTAATGCTTTGTTTACTTTCGGCAGGATATTCTTTTTTATTTCTTTTCTTTTTTTTTTTTAATACAGCATTACACCATGTAGCCCTGGCTTTCATGAAGTTCACTACATAGAAGATTTCTCAAACCCCCAGAAATCTTCTGCCTCTGCTTCCTCAGTGTTGAGATTAATGGCATTTACCACTACCCCCAGCCCATTAGTGTTTTAAGTTCTTGATGTGAAAATTAATATTTTAACATATTTCATAACTTTTAAATATTGATTTATATTTTCCTTAATCACATAAGTATTTTTTCTCCATATAAATATTTACAACATGTGCATGCATGGTGGCCTCAGAAGTCAGAAGAGGGCTTCTGCATCTAGAATTATAGATGACTGTGAGCTACCATGTGGGTGCTGGGAGTCAAACCTAGTTCTCATTTTCAACAGCAATAAGTGCTCTTCATAGCTAAGACTTCTCTACAGATCAAGATTACAAAACTTAAGTGACCTATCCATTCACAAACTGTAATATGATATACAGTTTTCTGAAAATATCTATACTTTTATGCCTTGAGTAAGAGACTACTACCTTATAGAGTAACAAGTCTAATTTTTCTCATGGCAAAATATATATGTCATCAAGGTTTTTGAGATGTCCTTATCTGGATATGCATAATGCTGTTACAAGGAATTTTATGCTAGGAGAGATTATGTAAGAGAGAGAAGAGAATAAAGGGAAAGAGAGAAGAAAAAGAAAACAGGGAAGGAGGGAGGGAGGGACACACACACATGCACACACAAACACATACACACACACGGGAGAGGAAGAACAAAATAGAAAATGTGGAAGTCTATATTCTGCAAAAACTAGGGCATCATTCTCCGCAGACAGCAAAAGAAGCACATTTGCTATCTTGGTTTTAATTTAGTAAATCTAAATTTTTAAACTGTTTATATCCAAATATTTAACATAATAAGTTTGTGTCATCTTGAGCATAAAAAATTTTGCAGGGTAAGATGGTGGAGTAGGAACGGTCCGGTGGGTTTTCAGGAGCAAAGAGCGCGTCCGTGTAGTTGCCCAAAATGCCGAATATCAAAATCTTCAGCGGGAGCTCCCACCAGGACTTATCACAGAAAATTGCTGACCGCCTGGGCCTGGAGCTAGGCAAGGTGGTGACTAAGAAATTCAGCAACCAGGAGACCTGTGTGGAAATTGGAGAAAGTGTACGTGGAGAGGATGTCTACATTGTTCAGAGTGGGTGTGGTGAAATAAATGACAATCTAATGGAACTTTTAATCATGATTAAAGCTTGCAAGATTGCTTCGGCCAGCCGGGTTACTGCTGTCATCCCACGTTTCCCTTATGCCCGCCAGGATAAGAAGGATAAGAGCCGGGCTCCCATCTCAGCTAAGCTTGTTGCAAATATGCTATCTGTGGCAGGAGCGGATCATATTATCACCATGGATCTACATGCATCTCAAATTCAGGGCTTTTTTGATATCCCAGTGGACAATTTATATGCAGAGCCAGGTGTCTTAAAGTGGATAAGGGAGAATATATCTGAGTGGAGAAATTGTACTATTGTCTCACCTGATGCTGGTGGAGCCAAGAGAGTGACCTCCATTGCAGACCGATTGAATGTGGATTTTGCCTTGATTCACAAGGAACGGAAGAAGGTCAATGAAGTGGACCGCATGGTGCTAGTAGGCAACGTGAAGGATCGGGTGGCTATTCTTGTGGACGACATGGCTGACACTTGTGGTACAATCTGTCATGCCGCTGACAAACTTCTCTCAGCCGGAGCTACCAGAGTTTATGCTATCCTGACTCATGGAATCTTTTCTGGCCCAGCCATTTCTCGCATCAACAATGCATGCTTTGAAGCAGTAGTAGTCACCAATACCATACCTCAGGAGGAGAAGATGAAACACTGCTCCAAAATACAGGTGATTGACATCTCCATGATCCTTGCAGAAGCCATCAGAAGAACCCACAATGACGAGTCTGTCACCTACCTGTTCAGCCATGTTCCTTTATAACAGTAAAACTTCTGAAGCTTTGAAAATAAACCAACCCCACCCCTCATGTTTCTTGGTATTTGAGTTCAGCAGAAGACCCAGCTTGCTCCAGTGTAGATTTTTACTTCCCACATTAGATGCATTAGAATTTAGCCTAAATTGGAAAAAGACAGATTATGGTTAACTGCTAGGATGTCCTAGGATGTGTTGTTTCATCCTGCCTTGCTTGTTTATTTTGTGAGCCTTGGCAGCTTTAACTAGAGGTCAGCTGCTGAAAGATGTATAGACTATTGAGAATATTCCACAAGGTCCATAGGATATAATTGACAGAGCTCATACTCCATTGCATGCAAATGCTTTGGGGTTTTTCTTCATTCAGGATGACTAGCAACAAAGTCAACCCATATGTGATACATTTTCAGAGGTTTGTGCTAAACTGTAGCAAGAACCCTGAGCATCCTTAAACATAGTTCCAGTAGTTGAGCACCCTGTTAGACAGGGGCAGGTAGCTCGATGCAGTAATTAACTTTTGGGAGGAAGAAGCCTGATCCATTGCTGTCTGTTTAGCTCTATAGCTTGAATTCTCTACACCTGTTCCTTTCCATTCGGCTTTATCTTCAGCCATCTTGACCTGTTCCTAGCCAAAAATATCTTGGACTCAGTGATCATTGTGCTTGTACCATAATCTTCTGTAAGACAAACTTGCTTCTTGATATGTAGCTGCTAGCTTTCACATTAGATAGATACCTTGCTGTAGTGTAGTCTTCCTTAGCCTATTACCACTGTGGCAGTAGGTTTGAGGTGGTGTCTTAGTGCCTTTTGATTACGTATTTAAGTATTTAATTTTCGTCTTTCTTGGATCCATTTGGTCTCTCAATTGAACAGATTTCTGCTAAACGATTTGGTGTTATAGTCTTTTGTTGAGAACTTAATAAAATGTCTGTTAATGTATGCAAAAAAATAAAATAAAAAAAATTTGCAGGCTTAGTTTATGGCAGAATGTTGACTTTCCATAAAATTATATAGATGGCCACAAAATTAATAGAAGTCATTACCAAAGCAGCTTTATGTTCTATATAATATCCCAAGGTAATAATTTTGTCTTAATCATGTGGATTAATTTAGGTGATACATTTTATCATTATTGTAAATATGTTGGTTGTCTTTTGCTTTCCAAAATTTCTTCATAATTCAATCAACTGTATAACAACTGGTCAATGTCCCTTACACAGAGAGCCAAATTCCACTATAACATACATCCACTCTTTGTGCAGGTATTTAATTAAATGTAGTATTTGACAACCCATTAATGACCCATGCAGGTCTCAGATAAAAATTAAAAAATTATTAATTTCCTATCACAAAGCATTATTGAAAGAAATGTAAAAATGTTAACTAAAATTGACTTGGCAAAAAAAGTATTCCTATCTGATCAGCACAAACTGCTCCATATCAAGAAATTAAAATAGAACTCAGCAAGCAAAAATATACAATTTAAAGTTGTCTGACAATAAAATAAACGTAGACAAATCCACATAATGAATTTGTTTCATTCTCAGTGTCACTTTTGATATCTTTTATTTTACTCACACATGAAAGAACACCATGCTGCTATAATTGCAGCCATTATTATGAACATGAATGATGTTGTTTTCCTTTTCAATCATTAAATGTTAAAAAAAACTGTGCAATTTCCCTTGGATTAGATCTAAGGCATTTGCAATAGATGGAAATTATAGTAAATGTTATAATATTTCAATTTCCACTAATTAATCTTGGAGCTGCTTTGTTTTTCAAAAATCATCAATGTACTGGAAATTATAACTTTTTCTGTCACAATACATATTCATCATAAAGATTAAATTTACAGTTAGTGTAAATGCATTGTTTCTTAAATCATTTCTGAGTACACAAATTGACAATATTTTAAGCCTTTTTTATTTTTGCAAGACATGGTTTCTCTGCTTTCTTTGAATGTTTTTATTTTTTTTTTTAATGAATTGAAACTGAAAGGAAGTAGAGCCTAGCCAAGTCTCTGAATTTCTTGGGAACCTCGGGGAATATCTATAGAAAGTCTCTTTCATGTATCTATGTAATTGATAACTGTGCTATGGACAAATGTTTATCTTTATTTCATTGCATATAAATAATCAAAACCACATAAATGAGGAAGAAGATAATTCAAGGTAGATGAGAGCCTGCAAGCATGTCTTTAGGTAAATGCACATTTGAGAATCCCTTAGGAAATGGTTTGTGAATGAAGTCTCAGACTTTAATCTTATCTTTTGAACAAGTGTCTGGGAACTTCTAAAATAAACATTTTAATATTTTGTAGTTTATATGAACACGTCCTATGCATTACAGGCACTATAAGTAAACACTCCAGAGCCAAAATATGAATCTTTCATAATTCCATAGCTGCATTCATCATTTCACTTTTTTGCATGTTAACACCTAGAAAATTTTTAAAAGCATTACAAATCATATTTATGTCTTATGTTTCCTTTATGTTATGTTTCCTTTATGTTAGGAGAGGCATACACTGGTTGTGTAGTATTCTCAATAAAAATGCAGTATTTTGAGGAATCTCTGCCTTCAGTTCCAGTTTCTTTCATCATTCTTTCATGAAAAAAAAAGTGTCTAGACTCTTCTGGTACTCTTGTGTACACTTGAAATATTTTATTCCTAGAATATTTAACTGTCACTAGTGGGAAAACGTAAATCTTTATTTAAATACATCTTTTCATTACAAACTACATCTATTTTGGCATCAGTAGATGTTCTGGTTCATTATCATCTCCATCAGAGTAGTTGAGGTTAATTGAAAGGCACTGCAAAGAACCAAATTCAAGTCTGTTGACTTTCTCTCATTAATAATGGTTAAAGAGAATTATCAAACCTTCATGTGAGGCCTTAGCCATTCCTTCTTACATCTTCCTTCTAGGTAAATTTAATTTTGCAATCTTCATGTGGACTTGTGACCTCCATTGGCAATGGAACATACAGACTATGAGATACCAAAAGTGGCTTATCTCAAAGCTATAACAGAAAAATTGCCATCCATGCTTGGGTAGAAGATACTTTCTGGTAGTGTGACTGGTATAGGATCACCACACTCTTATACTATACTAAAGTTCTGTAAGATCAGTAAACTCATTGGTTCCCTAAAACTGAGCCTTGGTGGAATCATAATTTGTTCTGTCCTTAGAGTCCTCAAAGAAGTGAGCAATTATTTGACTATCCCCGAACACTTTTACATTATTTTAGTGCAAAAGGCACAATAACACTGTTGTATTTACTCAGTATTTTCTTTTTAAAAAATAACTAGTATCTAGTTCTAAACTGTAATGTTAATAATAAAATGATTTGGTATTCTATGCTGTAAAACTATGTAACCATTAGTTACCAATAAACACTTAAAGATCAGGCCACTATACCTCATCTCATTATGCAGTAGTAATGAATGACTTCTGTTTAAAATATTGAAAATATTTACAATCTCAAGTTTATTTTAAATACTCTGGGGCATTTCACACTATTTTGTGATTTGGCAATTCTTTATAAAGATGATTCTCAATTCCCTCCCCTCAAACATCAGCACACCCTGCAGAAGGGAAAGCAGAAATATTGTAAGAGCCAGAAAAGATGGAGAGTACTAGGAAAACAATGTCTCTAAAGATCAAGATTCATCTGAACTCACAGAGACTGTAGCAGCATGTACAGGGCCTATATATGTCTTGGCCTGATGGGGTCCCAGAACTGGGAAGGGAAGTGGATAAGGGCCCACATCTAACCCAGGAATTATCACCAATTGGTAGCCAGCTGCAAATAAAAATTTTGTTTTCTCATGAGTGGAGTTTCAGTTGATATACAAACTACTCTTAAAGGCAGACTCCATGTTCAGTCATAGATGGCCAACAAAATATGATCTCAATGGCATCTTTGAGGTTCCTTGTCTCATAATTCTTTGTCAGCTTTTTCTCTTATAGCTTCTTTGCATATGCTTTCTAGTTTTTGCATTTTTAGGGGACTTCTTTATGTGCAAACATGTGTGTCTCTCCAACTACATGGGTTTCTTGAGCTTTACTTTGGCTTTTTCTTCTGTTGGTTTGATTGTTTTATCCTATTCAAGCTTATTTGTTTAATTATATTTTATGCTTGTTGTTTGTGGAAGCCTGTTTGTGTCTTTAAGGTAAAGAGAAAGAAAAATGTGGATTTGAGTGGGTAGGGAAGCAGGGAAGATCTGAGAGGAACTGGAAGAGGGCTGTATTGGTCACTATTCTATTGCTGTGAAGAAATACCATGACCAAAAAATACTTATAAAAGAAAACTTTTAACTGGGGTCTGGTGTAGAATTTCAGAAGTTTAGTACACTTTCACCATAGTGGGGATCAGGCGGCAGAGGAGACAGGCACGGCAGGTATGCTGAAGGAGAAACAGGTGAGAGCCACATCCTGATCCTGATGCACAGGTAGAGAAAGCTAATCTGCCTGGCTTGGGCTTTTAAATCTTCAGACACCACCCACAATGACACACTTTCTCCAACCAGGACCCGATTTCTCTAACAATGTGACACTTCATAATCCTTCTACTACTAATCAAATAGTGCCACTTCCAGATGGTGACTAAGCATTCAAGTATATGAGCATATGGGGATCATTTTTTGTAGTTTTCCTAGATAGGATTTCTCTGCTTAACAGTCTTGGCTGTCTTGAAACACTTTGTAGATCAAGTCAGGTCTTGAATTCATAGAGATTCACCTGCCTCTGCCTCCCCAATGCTGGGATAACTACCACAATGAGGTAGGGGCATTCTTATTCAAACCACCACAATGGGGAACCAAAATCAGAATATATTAAATTTTTTAAAAATCTATTTTGAGTTAAAAAAAGATACAAGAGGAACAACTAAAAAAGATGATGATTCTATGAGTACTAGAATATTTATTACGAATTATTATAAATATTTATTTTGCTATTTGAAATTGAACAGACTTGCAGTCTGACTTATGTTTTATAAATTTCTTCTACAAATTTTATTCAAATACCTATTCTCACAGAATTCTAACATTGTAAATCATATCTGGTAGATATTTAATTTAGCTACCAGGGTTTTTTCTGGAAAGAAATAATTAGTTTTTGAGAAATCTCTCA